CACAGTTGGCTGTGGCTCATCACAACCCTATAGGACAGAAGAGGACTGTTCCATAAGGGTTCCCAAAGCTGTGAATGTTACAGGAGCAAACAGCCACATCGTTCTCCTGTAGAGCAGCAGGTGGATTTGAACCACTGACCTTACAATTCACAGTTCAGTGCCTAGGCATTGTACCACCAGGGCTCGTCTGTTGACTGTGAGTAAGCATGGAATCGAGGGATAGAAGCAGATGTGCACAGGTGAGTCAGAAAGGAGCTGAGCAGCTGTGGGTACGACGGGAGAGCACATGTCCAGGGCACCTTCACCGTGCGGAAAGACCAAATGCTGCCGAGTAGATCCTGACTGACGGGTGTCAGGGAAGAACTGTGTTCACAGGGCTTCTAATAGCTCCTTTTTCTGAAGTGGATCGCCAGGCCTTTCTTCCAAGTCTTCCAGGTGGACTTCAATTAGCAGCTGAGCACATGAATTGTTTGCACCTCCCAGGTACAAGACCTGTGCATACTTTCTCTAAAGAACTCTCTGGAAGGTTAGGGGGCATAACGCAGCGCTGATTTTAGTCCCACGGAACTGGGGGTAACAGAAAGAGGGCGTGTGTGCCCGCGCACGTCCTCACTGCCCAGAGGACGAAGAAAAGGCAAACCAACAGTCATGCCAAAAATACTGCGGCCATGGCAGGCTATTGGCTGCACGAACTGAGCCCATTGCTGCCCAGAGACAGGCCATTAAGCTCCTCATTCAAAACACAGTGGAGGCCGCTGCTAGTATCTTCGACGCATGCGCGCTTCCCCAGTGGTCTGCGAAGCTCTGTTCTTGGGTGAACTGTGCTATTCACAGCAAGGTGGTCAGGAACTGGTCACGTGTAGCCCAGAGGGACCGAACACCCCGACCCCGATTTAGACCTGCAGGTGCTGCCCATGACCTCCTCCAAAACTTATGTAAAGATAGAAGCTGAGGAAAAACAGATGGAAAGAAAATAATATGGAAATGGTTCTTTATGGTTAAAAAAAAAGTGTGTGTGTATGTGTGTGTGTGTGTGTGTGCTCGCCCGCGCACGTATGGGGGATGGTAGCATATTTTCTTCTTGGGTGCTAGGAGAAGCTTGGCTTTAGAGTCCCTAGGTCAAGAGAGCTCAGAGTCCCATCAGGAACCAGGCGGCCCAGGAGCAGGGTAGTTGGAGAAGTAGGTTCCTGGCAGCAGTGATTACAGTGATGGCTTCGGGGAGGGCGCAGGACACTTAGAGGGTAGCTCCCAAGGAGATATCCCAGAAAGAGCCCCTTGAAACTTTGCAACAGCGGATGGGGATAATAGGCAAGGACATTCAGGACGCCGAATGTCATCCCTAATTTTATGGTGTCTCCTGGGCTGGTGTGGCTGTGGCAAATTTGAGCACTTTGAGTTAGGATGATCGCCTGGCTGGCTTCAGAGTGAAGACAGCTGATGGAGTGACTGCTTAGGGGGAAGGAGCAGAAGTACAGGAGAGAGATGTGGGAGGAAGACTTGGAGTAGGCTGGTTGTAATAGGGATGGGAAGAAATCGGTGGGGTAGAAAGGACTTGGTGATGTCCATGGAGAAGGAGGAGTCAAGCTTGACTCTCCGATATTTGGCTTGGCTGGGGAGTGGTGGGGTTGCTTGAGGTTGCGATGATGAGTTCTGCGAGGGACTTGCGGAGTTGCAAGTTTCTACAAACCATCTAGATCACTGGTTCTCAACCTGTGGGTCTTGACCCCTTTGGGGGGTCGAACGACCCTTTCACAGGGGTCACCCGATTCATAACAGTAGCAAAATGACAGTGATGAAGTAGCAATTAAAATAATTTTATGGTTGGGGGGTCACCACACATGAAGAACTGTATTAAAAGGTCATGCGGCATTAGAAAGGTTAAGAACTGCGGATGGGAGTTGGAAGCGCAGGGAATCTAGGACGGAGGAGCCTCTTGGGACCGGGGCGATACCAGGAGGGAAGGGGGAGGTAGCAAGGGGGAATGGATCACAGGGAGCCGCGTATGGCCTCCTCTCTGGGGGACGGGCACAGCGGGGTGGGTGAGGGGAGGCGCCGGACAGTGTAATGTAAGATACAAGAATAATTTATAAATTATTAGGGGTGCATGGGGGAAAGGGGAGGGGGAAGGGAAGGTGGGGGGGAAGGAAGATGAGCGGATTCCGGGAACCCAGGAGGCAAGAGAATTTTCGGAATGATGAGGGCAACAAATGTATAGATGTGCTTTACACAATTGATCTATGTATTGTGATAAATTGTATGAGCCCCAATAAATTGATTAATTAAAAAAAAAAAAAAAAAGAAAGGTTAAGAACTACTGATCTAGATGGAGAGGGACCACAAGAAAGTTGAATGCTCAGAGTTCTAAATGGACATTCCCTTCTTTGTGCAAAAGTTTTACAGAACACCTACTGCGTGCCAGGCACGCTCTGGGTGCTGATGATACCAATATAGGAAACATTAACTGTGTTAGGTGGGGTTGACTAGAGAAACAAGAAGTAATTATATATCAAGAAGGCATCCCAGCCCAGTCCAACTCAAGTCCATAAGTCTGATACTAGTCCATAGGTCCCTCTTCAGACTCACATAGCTGTATGCTCTGACGCAGAAAGAAAGGTGTGTGGAATGCAGGAAGATTACAGGCTGGTGGGTGCAGAGTCACATGGATCCCAGGTCGATGGAAACATGGCAGGGCCCTGGCAATGGTCAGAATCATCTGCAGAGCCCCAGCGAGCAGGACTGGGAAGGGGCAGAGAGAGGGAGATTCCTAGTGTCCCCCCCATACCCTGCTCCTTTTTAAGAAGTCTGTGCCACCAAGGAGGTGCCATCAGGCTGTGACTTGGTGGACAGGTTGGATTCCATGAGATCATCTAACTACAAGCATGGATGGGACTCCCAGAGAGAAGGCCTAGTGTAGGAAGGACTGGGTGGGGTGGGGGTGGGGGTGAGGAGAGTGACAGATAGTAGCACTGGCAGGAGAGGAGACTTGAAGGTGGGGGAAGAGCGGGGGCGAGTGGGTGGTGATGCAGAGGGTAAGGTAGACACTGGTACCAAGAAGGAAGAGCAGTGAAGAGAGTCCAGGGCTGCAGAGGTCAGCTCAGAGGACTGGCAAGTATCCTTCAGGTTTAGGCTCCTGGCGTGGAGGGAAACTGCACTGGGCTGGCATGAGAGCAAGGGGGAGGTAAGCTTAGTGAACGCCTGTTTCCTGGGATTCTGTTTGTCTTACTGTCTTCTAGTGGATGTGGACTCCTAGGGTGTCCATAGGACAGGGTAGACCCGTAACTTTAAGAGAGTAGAAAGTCTCATCTTTCTATGCACAGCAGCTGGTTTGGAACTACTGACCTTGCAGTTAGTAACCCAGTGCATAACCTCTAAGCCAGCAGGGATCTGGGAGATTCTGTGTTTAGGAGGCTGCTAAGCATCAGCCAAGGGAAGATTTCAGGGCCCGTTGGACTGAGGCAGGCTGTAAGGACATGAAAAGTGAGGATTTCATCCAGAGCAGACTCGGGCTGCAGGCAGGTGCTGCCTGCCCTTCCTTCTCAGCAGCCTTAAAAAGCCCCGCGGCTGTGCGGAGGGGGGAGCGATTCCTTTCAGTTGGGGCAATCAGGGAAGATGTATGGACATTTGATTCCGGCGTGAATAGTGGGCTGGGTTTGGACAGAAGCGAGAGGTGCGGGGGAAGGGCATTTCCAACGGCGGTCCCAGACCAGCGAGAAGCTCAGGAACATTTGAAGGTAGCAAGGGACGCAAGGACGGGTTCATTCTGGCTGGAGTTAAGAGGTTCCTCAAGGGGAGGAACAAGGCCAGTAAATGCAAACCAAGGTGGGTGGTAGGGTGCTGTGTTGTGTTGTGCGTGCGTGTGTGGGTGGTGGTGGTGGGGTCTTGGGGTCAGACGACTGGAGGGGTTCCAATACGCGCTTCCGGTGACTTTACTAGGTATGTGGCATTGGCGAGATTCCTTACGTATCTCACATTCCTCATCTGTAAAATAGTGATAACCCTAATAGATGGTTGGAAGAAGACTAGATAACAGAATAAAGAGTGATGCCGGGTAAACCTTAAGCCCTCTGGTGAGACACGCTGCTGTAATTTTCACATAGAGCCGCCAGATACGTGCTTTGAGGAAGATGACTTTTGGCAAGGTGGTGTCACGTGGATGGAGTGGGGAGAAGGAGCCTTGCACACCGCAGGTAGTCTCAGTAAACACCGAACAGAATTGCATTCTTTGCTGGGCAATCTGCACAGAACATGATCTGCATTTCAGAGTCGGGCCGGTGACTATGAGGTTAAGTTCAAGTTAAGGGGGTGGAACAGAGGATAGAGACGTAAGTTGTTCAGTTCTGCTTTCCTGTAACTGTCCCCTGCTGAGCTCTTTCAGTGCCAGGCGTGGGGAGCGAGATGCAGGGTCGCCGAGCGGGTGCTTCTCGCCCGGGCTCCGCAGGATTTTGCCAGTTGCCTTCCGGCCGGGACAGGGTTAAGGCAGCTCGGAACTGGGAGCGGGAGGCGCGCAGGCGCACTGCAGGGGACAGCGCTCACCTGTAGGGGAGCGGGCGGAGCTACGCCTCAGAGCCCGGACGAGACGGGAGGCGGGGCGGGCGCGATGACGTCACGGGCACGCCTCCGTACAGCGATTCCGGTCCCGGAAGCGGCGGCGGCGGCGGCGGGCGTGGCTCTCGGACCTCCGCTTTAGCAGCGGCCGCGGTGGGACGGGTCTGAGGAAACGCTCCGGGGGCCGGGGGCCTGTGTGGTGCCCCGGGCCGTTCCCAGCCCTCCCCACCCACCAGCCCCGCACCCGGGTAGGTGCAACACCACCCCGTCCCTGTCCCCGCGTCGGCCGGGCTAGGCGCCTGGACGCCGGGCCGCTGCCACCTGCTGGCCTAGCCGCCTTGGGCGTGGCCTCCCGTGGCCGGCGGTGGGGCCCTCGGGCGGCGGAAGTGGTGGTCAAGGGCCCCGCCGACGCTGACCTGCTTTCTCCGCTCCTGGGCGCCGACCTCACGCCCGCCCCGCTCCCGTCACCCTGGCTCTGTCCACTGGGATTTCGGGCTCCGGGTGGTCCCTTTGCCCACCCCCCTGTCAGATCGCAGCCCAGTGCGGGGGACTGGTTTAGGGTCCTGTGGGCGCCCAGATCCCACTCTTATTTTCTGCTGAGCGTGTTCCGGGTAGGACTTTGGAATTAAGAAACGAGGGAGACGAGAATGGGGCCTTATGGAAGGTAATGGCTGCTCCCTGGGGTTCCAGGCGGAGGAGAGGCGGGGGGGGGGGGGGGGGCAGGGCGGTGAAGCGATGGCCAGGATTGGCTCCCGAAAGTTGTTGGGATGCCCTAGGCACAGGTGGGCGTAGGGGCGGGTCAAAGGAAGGGATGGGAAAGGAGACAACCTGAGAGCCCTGGAATGCTGGCAGGTGGCTGGGGCATTTTCTCTGCAGGGGTGTCCACTGTGTGAAGGGAGACATCAGTCAGTGGAAGACACGAAAAATAAATTTATAAATTGTCAAAGGGTCATGAGGGAGGGGAGGGGGAAAATGAACTGATAGCAAGACTCAAGTAGAAAAAAATATTTTGAAAATGATGGCAGCGTAAGTCCACATGTGCTTGACACAATGGATGTATGTATGAATTGTGTTGAGCTTTAAGAGCCCCCAATAAAATCATTTTTTAAAAAAAAGGGGTGTCCGCCATGTGCAGAGACAATGGTGAATGGGAGATGTGGTCCTTGACCTTGTTCAGTGTTCAGGGGGCCAGTGAGACAGCGGAGTTTCAATTTTGTGTGTGGGTGTAAGGTGACCAGATTTTAACATTGGTAAAGCGGGACACCATTGATAAAACTCATATCCTGGCCAAATAACCACATGGCAGCTGAAAACCGTATACCCTAGCTTGTCGTGCATTCTTTCCAGAAACTGGGACTTTTTTTAAAACGCCGCGGGATGCAGCAAAAATTGTTAAAAATTGGGACTGTCCCGCCAAAAGCGGGACGTCTGGTCACCTTAGTGTTGTGGGAGGTTGGGGAGAGTCCCTCAGTGTGGTTCATTGTGGACTGGGAAATGGAGGAATGACATTTAAGCCAAGTCCTGAGGGGTGAGTAGGAGTGAAGTAGATAAGGAGTAGAGGAAAACATTCCAGGACGTTGTTTTTGCAAGGCTCCCATGCTGCCTCCTCCCCAGGCACCTTTCTTGATCGGTCTGTGGGGAAGAGAGCATTGGGCGTGGAGCCCGAGGGACAGGATTTATAGTAATTCACTTCACCTTACTGAACTTCAGTGTCCCCTCTGAAATGGGCATTCGACCTGTAGTCCTGTCTGCCTGCCCGTTTCTGTTTGGGTACCACCCAGAATATTGTATGTAGATGTGTGTGGGGGCTGGAAGTGCCACACAAATGTCAGCAATCCTTGTGGTTACAGAATGCAGACATCGGATCGTGAGGGGAGTGGGTCCGAGGTGAGTCCCAGCGTGATGCCAGAGGCCCCCCTGGAGTCTCCACCTACTTCTACCAAGTCCCCGGCATTTGATCTCTTCAACCTGGTTCTGTCGTACAAGAGACTGGAGATCTACCTGGAGCCCCTGAGGGATGCAGGTGATGGCGTCCGATACTTGCTCAGGTACTGGATTGTGTTGTTGCTCCAGCCTGAGGAGCTTCCATTTCCTGCTTTGCATGTAGGTTGCTGACCATTTTGACAGTGACTGGATTGCGCAGCCTGAGTGAGGAGCAGTGCTGGGGGTCCCATGGACTTGGGTTGGCTTCCTACAGGGCACCTCAGAAACCCTGGTCTGTTACAGGCTTGTCATGTGTCTTGGGCATAGCCCAGGTGAGGCAGATGCAGGAAGGATCTTGTCTTATTCCTAAAAATTTCTTCTTTGTGGCCAAATAAGCCCTTACCCACAAGGCTGCTTGCTAACTTTGAAGTAATTTACTCAGTCCTGCATCTTAGAGCAGGGTTTCCTTTTTGATACTCCCAATGTTAGCATAATCAATACTCAAATGAGGATATCATTTCGAGCAAAAGTTAAAGAAATGCCCATACGTATGAGTAAGCTAGTGGCTGGTGGTATACACATTGGGCTACTAGCCATGAGGTCAGCAGTTTGAAACCACCAGCTGCCCTATGGGAGAAAGACCAGGCTTCTACTCGTAAAGAGTTACAGTCTCAGAAACCCGCAGGGGCAGTTCTACCCTGTCCACAGTGTCCCTATGAGTCGGCATCGACTTGGTGGTAGTGAGTTTTTTTGGTTTATGATCACTAAACCTTTAGGATTGTGAATCTCAACCTTTTTAGGTTCCTATTCTGCTTTGATTTTGTTCCTTAGTGATTTTCTCTTCTCTCCTTTCGGCTCATTTTGTGTGTTGAATTATTCCACCTGACAGATAGGCTCTGCCAGTCTCTAACCATTTCAGTGTGGATCCCGGAATAAGACGGGCACTTCCTTTCCTAATCCCAGCCTTTGCCTATGCAAATGAGCAGTGCTTCCTGGTTGTCCTCCTGTGCCCATCCTGCTCGGCTTTCGTCGGTTGGCCCAAGAATGTAATGTACCGTTATTTGGGTCCAAATCAGGTTCCAGTCCAGGAGTGGGCTAGTCCAGGGCTGTGTGTATTGGGTTATTATGGCCCCTAAATTGTTTTCCATCCAAAATAAGTCTCTTCTTTCGTGACACTAACTTGCTGACGTGACTGAGCATCTGTCCTGCCACGTTTCTCACCCTGTTGGTCTGGTAGTTTCCTCACAGTGAAAACTGCAAGTTAGGCTTGGACTGGATTTAAGTTAAATATTTTTCTTTCTTCTTCATTTTTAGCAAAGTGGCCTAATGTACCCCATTAGGAGTCCCATAAAAACCTGGTGTCCCAAAGAGCGGGAGCTGTAATGTGGGAGCCTGTGGGTGGCTTTAGGCAGTCAGTGAATCCCCAGAGACTGCATGTGTAAGTTTTTGAGTTTTCCCCAGATGCTCAGAGTTCTTCCCCCTCTGCGATGCCCCAGGTGGAGTCAGGTGAGTGTTTATCCTGGCTTCAGTCTGGACATTAGTGGGCGGCCCTACAATTTTCTTTTTGTGATATACTCTAAACAAACAGACCACAAGAAAACCAAACTTACTGCTGTACAATGGATTCCCACATAGACACCCAATATGACGGTTTCCAAGGCTGTTTATCTCTATGGAAGCAACTGGCCTTTTCCTTAGCAGCTGGGCACTTTAACCACTGGGGCACCAGGGTTCCTCGGTACCTTCCAAAGACTCACCATCACCGGGCTGATTCCGACTCCTAGTGACCTTTGAGGACAGGATAGAATAGCCCTTGTTGATTTCTGGGACTGTAGAAAGCCTCATCTTTATCCTGTGGGGCAGGTGGTTTCAAATTGCTGACCTTGTGGTTAGCAGCTGAGTTGTGATGAGTAACTCAGTGTACTACCAGGACTCCCTCTTTATATTCCAAACCAAGGAACTGAACTCACTGCCATCCAGTTGATTCTAACTTGTAGAGACCCGGGGTAGAACTGCCCTTCTTACTTTTTGAGACTGTAGCTCTTTATGGGAATACAATGCCTCACTCATCTTCCTCCTGCTGCCCTTGCAGTTAGCAGCCCAGCACAAAACCCGCTATGCCACCAGAGCCCCATCAGTACATCTAACCCCTCCCCCACCGAAACAGACTCACTGCCATCGAGTCAATGCTGACTTGTAGTGACCTCCCTGTGGGTTTCCAAGACTAGTCTTTCTCCAGAGGAGCTGCTGGTGGTTTCGAACTGCTGACCATGTGGATTGCAGTCCAACATGTAACTGTTATGCTCTAGAACCCCGTTAATGTACAGCAGGGTCCTGTGGATGGGCTTGGGCCGATCTCAGAGTGATGGTCTCCATTCTGTGATCACGTAGGGGTACGTTTCTCATTTTATAATCTCCGCATGACTCTCCGGCTGGAATGAGCTTTGGGACTTCTTTAAGGGAGTAGGTGGGCTCTGGGGAGCATGTTTTCTGTGTGTGTGCCCCTTTGGTGACACACAAACGTTGAACAAATGTTTGACGGTGCCTTTCCCTTCTTCGTTGAGGCTCTCCCACCCTGTGGACATGAGAAGCCCGAGGCAGTAGTAGGATTGAGTAGAGTCAGGTGGGGAGCTCACAGCTCTGGCCCTTTTGTAACACCCCAAGAGCCTGTGGTCCCCAAGTTGCTGGGAGCTGAAGCTCTGGTCCTGGGGAGTGGCTGTCAGGTTAGGTTGTGCCTCTGATTGTTCTCTTAGTAAAGAGGATTTGCCTTTGCAGAGGGACCTAATCGTGGGCTTTGGGTGTTCTGTCTGAAGCCTGGAGCCAGTGGTACAAGTTTAAGAGCCCCCTCTCTGCTGGCTCAGCACTTCTAGAGGTTAGGTCTCTCATGAAGGCCTGTCAAGAAAGACGGTGGTGGGATAGACGAGGCTTCCGAAAAAGACGCATCCCCGGCGGCTGGGAGGTCTCTGTCCCTGGAATGGGCACGCCTGACTTTTACTTGTTTTACCAGGGGCTGCCATGGCATAATTCTGGGGTCTCAAAGGGGTCCCTTGTCCCCTCCCGCAGAACGCTTATTAAAAACAAGCAGCACAGACACAAGCCAGCTTCCCTTAGTGACTTGAAATACCCCATTTGGCATCAACCTGTCTGTTTCTTTAGCTAGTACTTGTGTATTGTTTGTCTCTCCCTCCTGATGGCTGCCTCAGGGAGAGCCACTGCTCTTTTAGACTGTTGGTGTCAGTGGCTCCCTGTGCTCACGTGTCCCTTTTAATCCTGTAAAATGCCCCTTAGCAGGACTCAGCCACCCCACAAGTGTTTGCTTGCCCTCAGCAGCTGGGATGTGATGGTTTCCACACCCCAACCCTCCCTTTGCCTTTTCGTGAGGGCTGGGTGGGGGGTGAGGGCTGGGTCTCATGCATATATCTGCCCCAGTTCACTCTGTGTATCTGCTGAGTGAATACGGCATCCTGGCGTTGTCTGCATTTTAAAAGTATATTAAAAGCATTATGTTGTCTCTCCTGTGAGTTAATAATATATGTTCAATACAGGCTCTCAAATTACTGAGCTAGAAGAGAAAGTAATTCACGCCATCAAAAAAGCCCTTGACATTTTGTTCTTACTCGAGTTCTATGTTAGATCAGCATGGTACCCTGAGTGTCAGCTCATGCATTAGTTACGAGATTGTAAAGCCGTGTTAAGGAAGACTCTCACTGAGTGCCTATCAGCTGGGCCTCTTCCAGAGAATACGGAACCCAAGGACCTGGGCCTAAACCAGCGTGACCTGGGTTTCTGCCACCTGCGGGGAGGAGTGCTACAGGCCTGGCTTTGAGGTTTCTTACTCCAAGGGCTAGCAGTTGACCGCTTCACTACCCTCTTTGGTCACTGGTCTGTGCGAGAGGCCCACTGGGTGTCTCACTGGGTCTCGTCTTCTCCCTAGCGGTCCCAGTACTCCCCCACCTTTGTTCTCATCCTGGCTATCTTTAGTAATCAGGACTTTGTGTATTGTAGGTGGCAGATGCCTCTCTGCTCCTTGCTGACCTGTCTGGGCCTCAACATCTTACTGCTCACTTTGAATGAGGGTAAGAAGGACTTCCAGGGGCCAAGGGGCCATGAGTGACTGTGGGGGAGGACACAGCTGGCTCGGTGTGAGGCGTGATGGGAACCAGCTGGCCTTGGGCTGGAGATAGCTTCCCTTAGTTTCTGTTCACTTGGTGCCAGAACATGGACGCCTCTGGGCTGTGTCCTGGGCAGACCCTTGGCTGGCCCACTGGTGTGACCTCAGCCAGTTCTTTAACCTCTTTGTTTAGTAAAATTGTCCATATCTCTATACAATGACAATTGTACTTTCCTTCGGGGGTCCAACCAAACCCCGAATCCCATTGTGTGGATCTGACCTAGAGTCCCTGGGAACTGTGTTTATTATCGACTTTGTCGGTCCCTGCCTGGTTGACTGCTGCAGTGGTTGGGAGCGTGGCCTCTGCCCAGTGATCATTTGGGTAAATGGGATGAGGGCACCAGCAGGGACGAGCTGAAGAGCGATTTCTGTCCTGTCGGTTGATTTTCCTCTGGTCCGGTAGATGAGCCAGGAGGGCTGTGCTGGGCAGTCTCAGTCGGGGGAGGCATCTGTGACGGGCTGGACAGGTGGGTGGGTGTCTGCAGAGGGCCTAGGTAGTTCTCAGTCGGTCACGATGTCTCATGAGGACTGTGCATTACAGCGCGTGTGTGTCCCTGCCTGGAACTGGCAGCTGGCTGCCGGCAGCGCTACAGCCCCCTCAGGAGAAATGAGCGAAGGGGCTGGGACAGAGCGTTCTCAGGAGTGGGCTCTTCATTCACTTAGCCTTTCTTCTGCGGAGCAGCCGGTTCCCAAGCGTCTCTGGACTTCCTGTGGTGTGTGGACTTACCTAGAGGGTGGAAAATAGACCCAGTTCACACCAGAGCTCTTGCATTTCCTGGTGGGCTTTGCCTGATCAAAACCTTCCCAGGCAATTAGATTTCTTTGGGATGTATTTCAAAAGCCAGTCATTCCCATGGCCGGTGTTTAACAAGGCTTTACTAGGAGCCCAGTGCTCTGTAAGCTAGCTCTTGAGGGACTGTCACTTGGAAGACGACAGGTCTTTTGAATCTTCTCTGAGTCCCACTTTCTCATGCACACTGCAGGCACTACCTCAGTGCCAAAGGCAAGGCTTCCAGTCTGCTGTAGGGCCCTGAGGCTGGCGTTTCGTCACAGCTGGGCTCCAGGCATGAGTGCCTGCTGTGGGCGGTCACTGGTCCACAGCAGTGGCCAAACAGACAGACTCGGACCGTAGTTGGAGAGGACAGTGGACAAAGCTGCAGGCTGATCTGTGGTGGCGCGTGCTCTGAAGAGGATGGAACTGGGCTCGGCTGGCACGGATGGCTCTAGACTGGTGGCGGGGATGGCGGTCCCCCCTTGAGGCTGAGCTCTGCAGGACATGAAGTGGGGATGTGTGGACAGAGGCGCTCTGGGTCTTGGCTTGCCCATTTCACCTGCAGTTCCTGATCCTGTAGGTGCGTGGTACTCTGTGGGCGCCCTGCTGATTTCTGTGCCCGCCCTGCTGGGCTACCTTCAGGAGGTGTGCCGGGCCCAGCTGCCCGAGTCGGAGTTGATGCGGAGGAAGTACCACAGCGTGCGGCAGGAGGACCTGCAGAGGGTGCGCCTGTCGCGCCCGGAGGCCGTGGCTGAGGTGAAGAGCTTGTGAGTATGGAGGAGAGGGGCTGGAGAGACGCGGTGGGGTGGGGGGGTGGCTCCTAACCAGGGAGCACTCTGCCGAGCGCTTGCTGCTGGCTAGCCATCACATCAGGCAGACCGCAGATGTTGCTTCCTTGAATCTCTCTGCCCGTCCTGGGAGGGAGCTGCTGTTATCCTCCGTTTATGGACGAGGAATAGGCTCCCACAGCAAGGAAGTGATCAGGCTGCCACAAGATTTAGGATCTGGCTGAGTCCACAGCTTGTGTCTGAGAGTGAGAGTTTAGGATCTCAGCTGAGCCGCCTGCCTGGGTTTAAGTCCCAGCCTGGCCATTTCATTGCTGTGTGGCATGGGGCAGGCTGCGTAGGCTGCCTGTGCTCCAGGCTCCTCATCGGTTAAAGAGGGTGAGAATACAGCTCACCTCAGAGGGCGGTGCTCAGGAAGCGTTCAGCATCTTATCAGCCATTGTCACCACACCGTGGGGAAACTGCCTAGGCCTGACAGAGCTGCTGCTCTGGAGGAAGGGCTGAGCCCTTTCCTGGGCAGCTTCTCCACAGGCTGTGGGCAGGCAGCTGGTGCTCCCAGCCCACCTCGGTCCCAGGGTCGTCTGTGGAGCTTCAGAACAAGTGATAAGCAAACGGACGCCTGGCCCCTCCCCAGAGACGCCTAGTCAGTTATCTGGAGTGGGACTTGGGTTTCCATTTTTTTTTTTTAACTTTGAAATAATTTCAAACATGCAGGAGAGTTGCAAGAATAACGTGAAGAGCTCCCACATGCCCTTTGCCTGGATAACACAGTTATTCACATTGGGCACACTGGCTTGATCTCCTTTTCTCTGCATACACGTTATTTCCTTTTTCCTGGACCATTTGAAAGTAAGTTGCAAATATCATGCTCACATCCACCAATTCTTATTTCCTCAGAACAGAGACATTCTCTTACACGTTGCGTTAGTCTGGATACACTAGAGAAACAAATCCACAGAAACTCATGTATAAGAGAGAGTTTTGTATAAAGGGTAAGTGTACATTAAAAAAGCATCCCAACCCAGTGCTGCCCACGCCCATAAGTCCAACATTAGCCCATATGTCCAACACCGATCTACAAAGCCCTCCTCAATCTCACAGAACACACAATGACGCTGACTACAGGAGGATAGCCGAATCAGTGAGCGTGTAAGTATCTCAGTGCTGGCAGGGGTCTCCACACAGCTGCTCCAGCACCCAAGGGTGCATCAGGGTAGGTCCATGTGGCTTCTCCTCAGGGATGTCTTGCAGGAAGTGAGCCTTGCCAGCTGAAGCAGGGAACTGGCTCAGGCAGCTGCATGTTGGTCCAACCATCAGAAAGCAAGAGACCTGAGAACTAGAAAGGCGAGGCTCACTGAGCCATTTATCTCTCTGCCTTTCAATGAACCCCACATGTGTTTATCAGCCAGGTTGGCACAGTCAACCTTAACTGTCTCACACGTCCATGGTATAGTGGTCCAAATTAACCTGAGGCATAGGAACCCTATAAAGGGTTTCCAAGGCTTTGGAAATCTGGTTGGGAACAGGTAGCCTCATTTTCTGTCTTGGAGTGACTGGTGGCTTTGAACCACTGACCTTGTAGTGAGCAGCCCAGCGCTTATTCGACAGTGATCAGAATTAGGAAAGGTTATATTGGATTACTGTCAAGTTGATTCCGACTGTGGTAGCCCAGGTGTGTAGAGTACAACTGACCTACAGGGTTCTCACGGCTCTGCCCTTTTAGAAGCCGACCTTGCAGGGCTGAGGCACCCCTGTGTGGGTTAGACCACTCATCTTTTGGTTGATAGTCCAGCGCTTCATCACATTCACATACCTGCTGCCATATAATACGCAGCTCCTGAAAACTTGCCAGTTGTATTAGTAAAGCCTATGTCAGTTTTCCCCCATCCAGGATCTAATCCTAGATCACAAATTGCATTTAGTATTTATGTCTCTTGGTGGCGTAGTGGTTATGCATTGGACTGCTAACTGCAGGGTCAGCAGTTTGAAGCCACCAGGCGCTCCATAGGAGGAGGAGTGGCTTTGTACTTCTGTAAAAAGGTTCAGTCTCGGGAACTCACGGTGCAGTTCTGTCCTGCCTAATAAGGTTGCTGTGAGTTAGCACCGGCTCGACGGCAGTGAGTTTGTTGGGAGTCGTCTCTAGAAGTGTTCCAGGTGGTGCAAACTGTGAGTGTTCTTGGCTGCTAACAGAAAGGTGAGGGGCTGGAACCCACCCCCGGTGGGCCTCTGAAGAAGGGCCCTTTCTGACACTCAGCCCACTGCAGTCCAGTCTGATGCTCAGTAACTGTTGAACCGAGTAGAACAGCTGTATGGAGTGTGCAGGGCTGGTAACTCTTTGCGGAAGCAGAGTGCCATGTCTGTCTCCCATAGAGTGGCGGCTGGTGGGTTTGAATCCCCGACCTTTCCGATAGCAGCACAGTGCTTTCACTTTTGCACCATCAGGGCCCCCTGACCTCAATAGTGAAAATTCAAACTTATTGCCATCACGTCGATTTGACACATAGCATCCTAAAGGACCAGGTTGAACCCCTATACCACCGGGGCTCCTCAGTAGTAGGGGCTCCAGAACAGGCATGTATGACTTGGGTGGGTTGGACAGGCCCCTTTCTCCAGTGTTCTTTGGACCCCTCTAGGGTGTTGGAAGAGAGTTGGCTGTCTCTAGCTAGGAGCCGTGGTGGTGTAGTGGTTGCTTGCTGGGCTGCTAACCGTAAGGTCAACAGTTCGAAACAAACAGCCGCTTCCTGGGAGGAAGGCAAAGCTTTCTACTCCTGTAAAGAGATACAGTCTTGGAAACCCACAGGGGCAGTTCTACCCTGTCATATAGGGTCACTCTGAGCAGGATTGACTCCATGGCAGTGTGAGGTTTGTTTTTTTAAAATCCTTTTATTGGGAGCTCTTTCGGATATCACAACATCCCATAGTTCCATCACCTGAAGCAGTATTGTACAATTGATACCAGAATCAGTTTCAGAACATTCTCTTTCTTCTTGAACTCCTTGATATCAGCTCCCCTTTATCCCTTCCCACCCCACCCTACCCCCCAGGAGCGCTTATTTATTCTTTCTTGACAAATCTTACACATCTAGTATATCCATTCACATGCAATTCTGTTGTTCGCTCCCATTGAGTGGGGTTATGCAGTCATCAATGCTCTCTGCTCCCTATTTCCCCCTACCCCGCTTCCTCTTCCTGTGCCCTCAGGGAAGCATTATTCCTATTACTGTTTCTGAAGGGTTATCTATCTTGACTTTCATGTACCAAATGATCTTAAATATACAGATGAACCCATGCACATCTAACATGATGAATGAGGTAAAACAAATAAAATCCATAGTAGTAAGAGGAGGAAATTAATTAAAGAACTAGAGGATAGTCATGTGGGTCATCAGTGCTATACCACACCCTGGATTTTTCATCCCTTCTGTGTGCCCCTTCTGAGGGGACTGTCCAATTACCTTACAGGTGGGTTTGGGGTTTCCACTACATCCACACCCCTTCCCATCGATCTGGTTGTGCAGTGTGAGTTTTGGAGAGAACCTGCTGTGTTCATGGCATCCCAGGCACTGCTGCCCCAGAGCACTGGGTGCAGTTGGTGAGGCAGTGCCAGCCACTCACAGTGCCCCCTCGCCCCATGTCTGCAGCCTAATCCAGCTGGAGGCCTTCCTGAGCCGTCTGTGCTGCACCTGCGAAGCCGCCTACCGTGTGCTACACTGGGAGAACCCTGTCGTGTCCTCACAGTGAGTGTCCCTCCTTCCTGCACTGCTGCCTTGAGTCTCACAAAGCCAGCTGCCCTGAGCGGTCCCTGCCCTTCCCCCCTCAGGAGAGGCGTCTCTCCGGTCCTTGGGTGTCTGTCTGCATGCAGGCCTGGAGCCCTAATGCACTGCTCGCTTTTCCCGATGCAGGTAGGCCCCAGCTTAACGTGCTCGAGTTCTGTCCAACCGCCCCCAGGCTGTCCGTTAGGTTTTTTTGGTCGTTAGTCAGATGTCGGCTGTGTGGCTGCACACAACCTGCTGATGTTATTCTCAGGTGCTCATGCCTGGATGTCCAAAGATCAGGGTTAAACGGACACTGATAATAAAAGGCAATAACAATGAAAACTGGCAAAAAGGAAGAAGGAAAAAAGTATTCTTCCGTCCACTTGTGGAGCCCCATTGTGAGCCAGGGACTACGTGTAATAGAAATGGTTAAAGACAACAAGAACTCACTGTGTGATCTACTGTGGGATCCAGCCCCACATTCGGATGAGTCCTAAGGGATGGTTGTGACATTGAAGGGAAGAGATTGAGAGACAGACAGAAGTTTAGGGGTGCTCACCTCTGCCACGGCATCAGGAACCAGGTCCGAGCGGAGAGAATGTATTTTTGTAGCAACTTACATAGTCTCGGGCATGCAAACCATGGTAAGCACATACGTAACAGGAAAGGGTTGTGTTAGTGGCACACACGCAACAGGACGGGGAAGAGCTAGGGGGACAGATGCAATAGGAAGGGGAGGCATTCAGGTGACAGGAAGGTGCATACGGAACAAGATGGGCAGGCTCTAGAGTTAAGGTGGCAGCCTAACCTCAGTCGTCTCTGAGCTGTCTTGATCTTGAGTGTCTCCTGAGCTCTTGTCCAGAGGAACAATCTATGATCCTTATCAGAAGGGAGTGAGCCAGACTTAGGGTTACATGGTCTGGCTGCTTTTGAGGGCAGATAACCTTTATGCAGATAGCCTTCAAACCTTTGACCCTCAAGAGAACAGCTTGCAAGCAGCACCTTAGCATTGGCATTCTTATGGAGGGACATCGTGGGGAATCACTTTTACTTAGGAGAGTGTGTCTGGAATGCATTTCCAACCCACACATGTGAAGGTCTCCCTCCACAGGAGCCCCGGCCTCCCTGACTCCTTAAGCTAAGAGCTAAGAGTGTGGAGAGTTTGTCCGCATGCACGCTCATCCTGGTTCGGTTTCCCACAGTCTGCCACCCTGCTGCAGCAGCTGCTTACCCATTGGGTTTGTCGTCTAGACTTTGTGACATGCATCTATCTAGATGTGTGACCACAGAGTCTGCAGAGTCCATTCTTCACATCATTAGATAATAGTTCTCTGTGATGCTAAGTTAAAAAGGACTTCCAAAAGTTTGTGGAAAAATAAACTGGAACGATAATGGGATTTTCCTATGAGCTTCTCTGATGCCTCCGCTGGAGCTGTGGGGCCACAGTGGAACCTGGGGGAGCCGGCTCTGGATGGCACTGCCTGCTTGCCTGCCTCTCTGTTTCCTGCCTCTGACCAATTTCCCGCCGTCTGTTTTGTGGAGATAGTCACGTTTTCCGGCTCTGACAGCTTTCCACCTTGCACAGGTTCTGGCTTTCTCAGGACTTATGGAAGGGTAACACCAGACAGGTAGAACTTAGTATGCACTGTATCTTATAGTGTCCTTGTTTGTGGAAACACTTACTCGGTGTCTGCTTTTCATGGCTGACCCTCCAGTGACTATCCTTGGGAGTTCAGCTTTATCTTCCGAAGTATCTTTCTGAGAATTCCAGGATGAAGCTACTGGATCAAGTGGATCGCGTGACCACCAAGCTCTCTCTGTATAAGTCACAACCACTGCGGATCTCTGCAGGGCCCTGGGGGTGGTGTAGGTTTCGTGTTGGGCTGCTACCTGTAAGGTCAGCAGTGTGAAATCCCCTCCCGTCAAGAACGAGCACCCACAGGGGCAGTTCTCCGTCTTGTCGGCTTGCTCTGAGTCGGATTTGACTCACTAGCAATGAGTCTTCACATTAGTGTCTGTGTAGCTGCAGCTTGTGTCAGGCACTGCCCAGGCATCAGCCTTCATAGCTACCTAGGCGGTAGGCACTGTTTTAGTCTCCGTTTTCTGCACAAAGAGGTGTAGCTCGGAGAACCAGGAGACTTGTCTGAGGTCACACACAGTGAGAAGCAGCAGAGCTGGATTTGAATCCGAGTTGGTATGGTGTAGACTTCAGTGTCTAGGCCTGAGGAGTGATGGGGGTGGGGGCACTGTTGCTGCCCTCAGCGTCAGAGCATGCTTGCTCGCCCCTGTGATGGATGGTGGGTGCACAACCTTCGTCCTCAGTGTTGTGTCCATGAGTTGGGCTAGCAGGGTTTGTGGGTTGGTTTACGGGGCCCGGGGCTCTTTTCTGCTGGGCCCTCTGTGGCTGTGCCCCAGTCCTGCTTCAGCCCCGCTTCCTGCTAATGCTCTGGCTCCTCTCTGTCGGCCCAGGTTCTACGGAGTCCTTCTGGGCACTGTCTTCATGCTGTACCTGCTGCCGCTGTGCTGGGTCCTGGCCCTTCTGAACAGCACCCTCTTTCTGGGGAATGTGGAGTTCTTCCGAGGTAAGCCAGCCCTGTGGAACCCGACAGGTGGGGTCCAGCAGATGTGTTTGCTGTGCCTGCCACAAGGGGGCAGCACCACACAAGGCTCCAACCCCCAGACCCGCAGTGGGCTCTGCCTCTGGGATGCTTGGTGGGATACAGTGGGGGCTGCTGCCAGGGTCCTCTCCCTGCCCAAGGTAGATGAGTCACTGCTTAAAAGAAACAGTGGCTTCTGGGGGGCAAGGGAGAGGTGTGTCCCCAAGGCTCTGCCTCTTGGAGTTGCTGCCACAGCTCTGGGAGCCAAGCACCCCCTGACTGGCTGGTTTCTGAGGCAGCCAGGCTGTGTGGAGAGGCCCTGAGTCCCAGAGACCTGGCTCTCTGTGTGTGGCCGCTTGTCTGGTTTCCACCCTGTGGGAGGGCAAATCATTCCAGCACCTGATTTTATCAGCATTTACTGCATGCCAGGCTCTGGGCTCAGTGTGTTTCCTCTGCCTCAGTCAGTCTCCGGGACAGTCCCACGAGGCAGGTGGGTAGGGCCTGTCGGCTTTGATTCTGAGGCTAAGGTGTGTGGATTGACTCAGCGCCAGGAAGGTGACTCTTCCCTGCCACATGGGTGGGGTGTGCAGGAAGAGGCCAGGGCCGCCCGCACTCCATGCTGCTCTGTCTCCTGTCCCTTGGCAGTGGTGTCTGAGTACAGGGCCTCGCTGCAGCGGCGGATGAACCCTAAGCAGGAAGGAAACGCCTTCGAGAGTCTGCCTCTGGATGCGGTGGGGAGGGGCGCTCTGCCGGACAGCACGCCTGCCCCCACCCCCACAGAGGTGAGTGGCCCGGCCCTGTCGGGAGAGCCTGTGTTCAGACAGGGTGGCTCCTGCCTGGACCTGGGTTGTAGCCCTTGTGGCTTGCTGCTTGCCAGGCCCGGTCTCTGAAGTGATGAAAGAATTACAGTCTTGTGTGAGAACAGTGGTCCGTGAGCCCCCTAATCACGGTGATGCAGTCCATGCAGAGTAGAACATGGCGCCTTAGGGGGTTCCCAGCCGTGACCTTTGGAAGCAGATGGCCCGACTTTTCTTCTGCGGTGCCTCCAGGGGTGTCAGAACCACCAGCCTTTTGGTCCGTGGCCTCATGCTTAACAGTTTGGGCCACCCAGGTATTGATAAACTCAAATTTAATGCTGGTAAGTCGAGTCCGACACGCAGTGCCGTACAGGAATGGATAGCTGCTCATCAGTGAGTGCTTACGCTCAGTGTTAGATGCGGTTCCACATACCATGGGGATAGCAATCCTGGGAGTTCAGGCTAACGTGGAGCATGGGAGTCTTCTCGTTTTTGTGGAAGAGAAGGTTGAGGAACGGCAGGGGAGCCGGAGGCCTCGTGGCCAGTGAGTGGTTCCAGAGCCTGGCTCCTCAGCTCTCCCCAGCATGCTCTGTGCCTCCGCATCCAGGTGGGCTCGTGTACCCTCCTCCGATCCCGGCCAGCAGGTTGGAGGTGCTCCTCTCTTCTGGGGCAGGAAGGGGGTCCTGGGAATCCCAGCTGCCGCCCCTCTTGCCCTCCCCGTCGGTAAGAGTGTTTCCACTGCAGGACCTCACCCCGGGCAGCGTAGAGGAGGCTGAAGAGGCTGAGCCAGATGAGGAGTTCAAAGATGCGATTGAGGTGAGTGGACCCTTCCTGGTGCCCTCTGCTCACCCGGGCGACACTCAGCTGGACCTGGTGGCCTGTGGTATCCTCCTTGCCAAGTCTGCTTTTTCCATTTTCTTACCTGCCAATGGGATGTTTACAGGTGCCCTGAACTAGAGTTCATTGGTTGCAAGGGTGCTACTGAGAACCCGTCTCCTAACACCCTCCTTCGCTGCTTGTGCCAGCCCTGGGCCTGCGTGCGCTGGCAGCCTGGGCTGCTGCCCGGAGGGGAGGTGTGGGTGCTGTAGAGGCCAGGATGGCGTCTTGAGGGGCTCTCCTGGGCAGGCAGGGAGGAAGGCGGGGAGAGTCGCTCCCTGGCCAATGCTGGGTTGGGGAGTTCAACTCGTCCCTGGTCTAGGATAGCACTTCAGACTGGCAGGTGGCAGAGGGTCTTTTTGGCCTGCCAAATTTTAGAAATAGATTTTTGAACCAACATTTAAAAACGGGCATGTTTCAGTAAAAAAGTCTGGATTTTACCTTTCTCGGGAAAGGCAGACACTGGTAGCCCTGGGCCTGCAGCAGCCAGTGTGGCTGAGGAAGGACAGAGTGACTGTCCCCTTCAGACAGGCCCGACACCCCTGTCGCACATTCCCCGAGGTCTTGTGGCATTTGCCATGTAGTCACCTTCACTTGGTCTCTTACAGTAGTAGAGTCATTGGCTTTCTCCACGTCCCTCCTAAAGTGGGCAGCTGAGGCATGGAATGGAGGGGTCTGTGGGCCACAGGCTTCCATCAGGTCTTTGATAGGCACCTAGCCCGCCAGACCCTTAGACCTGCCTGGTCCGCAGGGGGAAGCTGCATTTGGGCCCCCGAGGGGTTTCTGTTAGACGGCTCACTGTGATTGGGGCCTCTCGCCTGCTCCATCCTGGGAGACTGTGGCCCCTGCATTCGTATCACCCCACTTGGAAGCAGGAGTGTTTAGCCTTTCCCAAGCGTCTCCGAAGGTGGGACCCTTTACGCTTTGGGAGAGAATCAGACAGAGCAAAGAGCAGCGCTTGTGCTCAGCCCCCCTCCTCCCCGTGTGGCGGCCCAGGGTGTCCGCTTCTGCTATTTCTCTCTGTTTTCTCTCTCTTTACCCTGCACCTTGCGACGCAGGAGACCCACTTGGTGGTGCTGGTAAGTGGGTGCATCTGGGAGGAGGGCAGGATCTGGGCACAGGTTGCCCGGCAGGCTGGCCCTGCTGTGCTGGGCACCCTTTGCATGCAGGTCCCCTGGCAGGAGGGGGACAGGGCTGGAAGGAACTGCTCCCCACAGGAGGACGACGAAGGTGCCTCGTGCCCGGTCGAGGACGAGCTGGCTCTGCATGACAATGGGCTCCTGAGCAAAAACGAGGTTCTGCGCAGCAAGGTATCCAGGCTCACGGAGCGGCTGCGCAAGCGCTACCCTGCCAACAACTTCGGTACGGCGGGGATGGGGCTGGCCATGCAGCACCAGCTTCCTTTCCGCAGGGCGGGTGGGGTGATTGGCAGAGGTTAGAACTGTGGGTACTGGTTTATGATGAGAACAAGGTGTGTCGGGCACTTCTGCGGGCTCTCGGGAGAAGGCGAGGGCCACCCAGCAGACCTGTTGCGGAGGACCGTGACGGGAGCACTGTGTGGAGTCTGTCTGACAGTGTAATGCTGAGCCCGGCTGCGCCCTCTAGAGCAAACTTAACCGCGCTGGGCCTCAGTTTCCCCCTCTTCTTACCTCACTGGTTGTTAGAAGGCACAGTGCGACCATGCATACTGCTTGTTGGCCTTGGTACGTCCTTGGTGATTTGGTGCTCCGGTCTGGCCTGCAGATTCCGGGAGTCTGTCTGGGCTTTTCTGACCCTGGTGGAAACACATTGAAGCCCACGGTGCCCTCTGCTCGAGGCACAGCCCGGGGCTCCTTCCCTCCCTCGATCTAAGCTGGGCGTGGGTAAGGTGGGTAGGCAGTCCTTAGTTTCCTGGGGAGTAGAGGACTGCAGTGTCTTGCATTTCTGGCCCAGGTCAGGAGAAGGGCCACCTTAAGCAGCTGGTTCCCCTGCAGTGGAGCCTGGCCTCTGTTTGTTGTCAGCAGCAGGGGGGGTGCTGATTAAGTCCCAGGGTCTGTGCCCCTGGGAATCGACTGGGGCTTTCTCTTGAGGAGGGTGATATGGGGTGGGGTGGGGTGGGGGGCCTGCCTTCCTCCTCCTGCAGCAGTTGGGCAGCTGCTCTCTCTGGTGCGTGTGGAGTATAATGTCAGGAACAGCCATGAGGACCTTGCCGAGCTTCAAGGGTCAAGCACAGCGGTGGCAAACTTGATGCCCCTCATGCCCCCTCAGGCAGCCACTCACCTCCTCTCCCTCCGGGGGATCCACCCCCACCCCAGTGGCTGCCACATCCAACTCCCCTCCTAGAGCCCCACCTCGTGCTTACCGACTCCTACGTGCCATATGAACAGACAGGAGCAGCCATCCTTGTGGCTTTTGAGGCAACTGAGTTTCCACAGAGGAGCTCTGGTGGCGTGGTGGTTATTTATTGGGTTGTGACCTGCAGGATCAGCAGTTCAAGACTGTCAGCTGCTCCCACGGAGAAAGACGAGGCTTTGAGTTACAATCTGGGAGCTACACAGGAGTAATTCTGTCCTGCCCTATCCTGTTGGTAGCCGTGAGCTGGCATCAATTCAATAGCTGTGACTTTGAAGTTTCTTTAGGTTCCCGAAGTCCCCAGGGACACCCCACAAGAGCGAATATGTGTTTGCACGCAGGGATTCACGTGAAGGCACTTGGACGTTCCCACCCTGCAGCAGTGGCTCAGACAGCAGTGGTGGCGGGTGGGCAGAGTTGTGTTCTGCTGAGCTCGGGGTTGCTGTGGGTTGGAACCGAATCACGGGCACCTAGCAACAGCAGGAAGAGGAACAGAGAGACGGGCCCACAGTGTTCCGGCCAGTGAGTAGAGCTGGCCTCCCACATCCCAGTGGAGTCCCAGCTTCTAAACTCCTCCTTCTCTGTGTTCCTTTGCCCCAGTGTCGGTTAGTCCCCTGGTTTTAGGTCTGTCCCAATTTTGAATTGGGTTTGGGGTTCGCACCAGGAGGACTAGGGTGCTCCTGACCCAGCCATGACATTTTCCATGAGCTCATAGGCCTGTGACAATTGGACATTGACTAAGGAAGGCCCGAGAGGACCGTGTGGTTGAATTAAGGGGCCGGCAGGAGCATTGAAAAGGCTATGGACTGCCGAAGGACAAGCAAGTCTGTCCTCCTGGAGGAAGGACAGCCACAGTCCTCCTGAGAGGCAGGGATGGGAGACGTCATCTTACATACTTGGGGCCTGTTGTCGGGAGAGACCAGGCTCTGGGGGAGGACATCCTGCTTGGTCCAGTGGAGGGGCAGAGAAAAGGAGGAAGGCCTTGGAGGAGATGGACTGACAGTGTGGCTGCAACAGTGGGCTGAAGCCTGGGAAGAACTGGGTGGTGTTTCCCCCTGTGTGCACGGGGTCACGGAGGGTCCGAACTGACTGGATGACATTAACAGCAGTAACGCCCCTGTCAGGCTGGACAGTGGCCTTTTCCATTCTCACAAGGCTGACCGGGGCTGAGCTGCTGCCTCTCCTGAGCCCCTCACTCCCATCCTCCCCTCCTCTGCCCCAGAGGCTCTGTGCTTCAAGGGCCGGGGCTGCTCTTGGTCTGCTCTTGCAGGCCAGTGTGTGCATGGTGGTGGGGACCACACAGGGGAGTCGAGGACAGGCTCCTTAAGACTGCTTCTCTGGCTGTGAGGGGAGCCTGCGGGGAGGACTCCCCCACCATGGAGCGCCATGACCACTGTCCTGGCAGGCCCTGTTCTTGCTGCTCTTTGCCTTCCTCACATGGGGAGCTAGGAGGGTCAGCCAGGCTGGTGCTAAGAATAGGCGCAGAAGGAGGTGGGCCATGTTGGAAGGGCCATGTGCGAGTACCTGGCTTGTCTCATTGGACCACAGGTCTGTCCTCGGGCGCTGGACCCCACTGCTGCGCCTAGCTCTGAGGACCCCTGGACACAGAGCTGAGTGGTGGTCTTCAAGCCTTCCTCCAAGCCCTGGCTGTCCATTAGAGAGCCACAGGTGTCTGCCTCTCCCCAGTTTGTAGTGCGGGTGACAGAGTCTCTGAGCAGCCTCCTCTCGGCAGACAGCTGCTCTGCTGACCAACTGTGGTCACTGCCTTATGCACCTCGGCCTCAAGTTTCCCCCAGCTCTCTAGCTCAGCCAGAGGCCAACAGGAGGCAGGGACCACCTGGTGGCCGGGGGTGGTGGTGGTGGGAACCTGGAAAATGGAATAAACGATACTGAACTCCCTCGTTAACTGTCACTAGTGCTTGGGGGCCTTTGTGTTTGTGAGGGTGAGGCCTCTGTGCTTCTGTGCTTGGCCCTGCTGACAGTGACCAGGCCACAGGATGCCCCTGGGACCCACGTTTCACAAGTCTGCAGCAGCTTTAGCATCGGGGCCTTTGTGCTACCGCCCTGCCTCCTTGGCTCCTGGTGTTCTGCATGGCCCCATGGTCACCACTCTGCTGCTCTCTGAGCTTGCTGCCCTAGCAGGGCCCTGGGTCTGAGTTGTACGCACATACCTGTGCCCGCCAGGTGCTCACCTGTCATCAGACCATTGTTTCTGTCTATATTTGCTGGTGGTTCTGAAGGCCTGCAGGTAGGCAAGTGCAGCTCCTTTCAGGCCTAGTTGCCTGGATGCAGTCGTCTGTCCTGATTGGTCTCTTCCTCCCACTCGGTTCTTCATGTCTGGTTACTTGAAACCCTCCCCTCCATCCTCCATCCCCCGTCCCCAAGTTACCTTGCAACCTCTACCATCCATCTGAAGCGTTGTCATCTGGTCATCTTTGGGGGTTTAAGTAGGAGTTCTTTCCCCAGGGTCTGCCTTCCGCCCTGAACACACAATCTCCTCCCCACAGCTCAGTTGGGTCTCCTGGGAAGGCACCTGGGTTCTCTGGAGCACAGAAAGCAGGAGTCGGACTTCTTAGCAGGCATTTCTTCCCTTCCCCTCTGCAGAGCGTTTGTAAGGAGGGCACTGGAGGTGGTCACAGTGGAAGGGTGTCATTGAAGGCAGCTGGCACCGCTCCTTTGGGGGATGCCTACTTGTTTCAGGCAAGATCAGGTCCTCACAAGGTCAGCTTGATTTCTAGCGGGTCGATTCTGCTGGACTAGCAGCCGGTCTCTAATCTCAGGAGGTTGCTGGCACTGGGCACTGTAGAGTGGAGGCAATGATTCCCAGTAGCCATCAGCCTGCCTCTCTGGCTGGAAGTCCTTTTCCCAGCTCTGAACATAGACGGGCCTCCCTTGCTCATTGCAGACTGACCTATGCGTTGGGAGGCGGGGCTGGACCTCAGGGTGGGGCAGGTGTGGGAAGGTGGCTGACCTTGGGTTTCTGTTTTGCAGGGAGCTGTACGGGCTGCTCTGCTACCTTCTCAGTGCTAAAGAAGAGGGTACGTCAGTTTGAGGATGTGTGGTGTGAGAGCTGGGTTGCAGGGAACTTGGGGGAGGGGCAGGTGGAGGTCTCTGGTGCCATCTGGTTCCTCTCAGGCCCCGTTTACTCTGTTCAGGTGTCCATGGTTTGTGCAGTTGATCTGGTGGCCCTGCCCCTGGGGCTGCCTTGACTTACCCGTATGGGGTCCCATTTGGTTTCCCTCCTGCCTTATTTGGGCATCTCCACTGTCCCTCTACAGACAGCACCAGGTTCCTTGAGTGGGACCAGCTGGTGGGAAGGAGGGAGGGGTGAGGGTGGCAGCTGCCCATGGGCCATCTCTGATCTGGCCCTGGCTCTTGCCCACAGCGGAGCTGCAGTAACTGTGGAAACAGCTTCTGCTCCCGATGCTGCTCCTTCAAGGTACCCAAGTCCTCCATGGGGGCCACAGGTGAGTGGTGACTGGGCAGGTGGCTGGGGACGGCATGGGAAGGCAGTTCGGGGCCCACCCTGTCTAGGGGGCTGTTGCTGGGTGGGTCAGAGCAGTTGTTGGGTCCGGGGAGCAGAGATTGTCCTCTGTGCATTTAGCACCATCTCCAAATCAAGCCCACACAGAACATTTGCTACGTGCAGACAACGCGTAGAGCAGCCTGCCCTTGATGAAGCTTAGCAGCAGAACCCTCGGGAGCTGGAAGTCAGCGGAAATGACCTTTGTGTTGTTAAATAAGAATATGCCCAGTAGAACGGGCTCCAGCTTGTTAATGGCGACAAGTACAATTCAGTGACCTTGATTCGTCTTTCAAGTCGTGACAAGTGGTGTCTTCTATGAACTGTTTTGTAATGTGTTGCGACATTAAATCAAGTTGTGTCCCTGTCATGAAAGGAAAACATGCTTATTCTGGAAAATCTGGTAGTAAAAGAAGGAAGAGGGGGTGGGGGGAGGTCTGGAATCTTACCCACCCAGAAATAGTCCCTGTGACAGCATTGTGGACAATTCCCTTTTCAGAAACTGTTAGGACATCCTTAAGGTGCTCTGTTGGCCCCGGTCGGTCATCTCTAACGCCCTGATGTCTGGGCTCGGCTTGCCTGCTGCCACAAAGTCGTCCCCTGCAGCTCAGCGCCCTCTGAGGGCAGGCAGTTAGCTTCGGCAAGGAGGGTGTGCCCTGGGCACTGGGAGGTCCGAGGGGGTGCCTTGGGGATCATTCTGATTGGGGACCAAGGACGCCCGCTTACTCTCTACTCTTTCTCCCTTTCAGCTCCTGAAGCCCAGAGAGAGACTGTGTTTGTGTGTGCTTCGTGCAACCAGACCTTGAGCAAGTGAGAAGAGAAGCCAAGGGTGCAGCTTGTCACCAGTCCCGGGCCAGCAGTAGACCACCCCACCCCCCACTCTCCCCACCCTGAGCCTTGTGTGGCGTGTGCTGGGCCGAGGTGGCCAGGATTCTAGGTAGTTTCCCCTTCCTCCCTCGGAGCTGTGCCCACTCTGGATGGCTGGGTGTGGCTGTCCTGAAGCCCCCTGAGGGAGAGCAGCCCCTGGAGGGCCCTGCACTGCACATTTGCTGGTGGACTCTAGGGCATGCAGGGCCAGGCAGGGACTCTAAGCTAGAGGGCAGCAGTGAGCCAGGCTTGGGCTAGCTTAGGCTGGCGGACCTGTGTGGCTGGGAATTCAAGGAGCCCTGAGGATAGCAGAAGAGAATCTTCTGCCGGGTCTCACGCCAAGCCCTTGACCTTAGTGTGCCTGCAGAAGGCTTAGTGCCACCTGCATTGCTGCTGCCTGACTGTCCCGCAGGATGAGGACCTCATGCTTCTGGAAGCAGGGTCCGAGCTCCTGTGTTGTTCTTCTGTGGATGGGGTGGGCAAAGTCCCTGAGTGTTAAGTCAAGCCCCTGAAGTCAGCAAGTGAGAGTGGGTGGGGCGGGGGTGATGCCTGGGGAGCCCATGACCCTTGGGCCCTGGGAAGGGTAGGATCGGACTGGGATAATCTTAGTTGTGGAGTAAGGCCTCTTGGGGTCCCCATCTTCCTGCCAAGAACTCCGTGTTCACTTCTTGACTCGTAGGGACTCAGGTGTTTCTCCTGAGGCCTTGAGCTGGCTCAGGGGCCCGTCTGCCCAACCCTGCAGCTGCCCCACCGTTTTGAAGTATTTATTTATTTATTTCCTGGTTGTGGGGAACTTGAGGCGCAGCCTGCCATGTGGAGGGGGCTTCTCCTACTGGGATCCACCCTGGAGGCACCGGCTGCCTGGGACTCAGTACTCATTGGTGGCCGGGGAGTGTCTACACCCTGAGCAGCACTGAGGGGGGCCGAGATGCGAGGCGAGGGGCCCTTGTTTAGCCATCATTCCTGCCAGGCCAGCAGTCTTACTGGGGCTGAGATGCTGGGCTCCTCAGTCAGAGACTGAAGCTTGGAGCCCTGTGCACTGTCTGCACTGGGGCGGGAAGGGCCTCTGTGTATGCGGAGAATCCTCAATAAAAGGCTCTCAAGCTTCTGGGGGTTTCGTCCTGGTTCTTGGCTAGCCCCTCACGGAGGCTGTAGGACAGGGTCAGTCAGCCGGCCGCAGGGGAGAAAGGCTGGGCCTTGCATGCCGAGGGGCTCAGCTCCTGTTGGTCACATTGGCCTTGTGATTTCACATGGTTGCCACGTGAATCCCTCTGGGAAAGCAAGCCACCCGTTGGGGCCCCAGACCCACAGGAAAGAGGAGGGGTCAGTCCTCCTGAGCCGGGGCTGGGCATGCTGTGAGGGCAGGACATGGGCTCCTTCTGCCCTCACAAGGCCCGCAGGAGCTAGGTAAGGCCATCAGGGGCCAGGCGGGTTCAGCAAACCCAGACCCCCACTGCCATCCAATTGATTTTGACTGCATAGGCCAAAGTAGAGCTGTCCCTCGGTTTCCAAGACTAAATCTTGATGGGAGCAGATGGCCTCACTTTCCTTGGGAGCCACTGGAGGGTTTGACCTCCAGGTTAGCAGCTGAGCACTCGGAACTGGCATGGACTTGCAGGCAGTGAGTTTTTGTGGTTTAGGCCAAAGGAGAAGTGGGGATGGCAGCTGGGGCCCCCGCATCCCATTGATGTGCATGTGAGGGCCTCAGTGTGAGCAGGTGAGGGACACAATGATTCCCAAGGCTCCACTGAGCATGGACTGGTCTGGAAGGTGGACAGCTGTCACAGCTGGCTTCAGTTTCAGCCTGGACACCGATGAAGCCACCACCTCCCATCCTGGGGCGCAGGGCCCTGCTGGGCCATTTGTGTTTGGTGATGGTGGGAGCCCCAGCTGACGTGGCACTGGCAGTGGTTTCTGGGGTCTCCAGGACTTGTAGCCATTGACACCTGGTCCTTGGGCTGATGTCAGAGGAAGCACCATTTTCATCCTCTGGTCAACCAGGAAAGGAGCCCAGGTGGCATAGTGGTTAGGAGTTGGCCTGCTAACTGCAAGCTCAGCTGTTCAAAACCACTAGTCGCTCGACAAGAGAAAGACAAGGCTTTCTACTCTCACAGAGTTACTGTCTCAGAAGTTCACAGGGGCAGTTCTGCCTTATTCTGTAGGTCACTCTGAATCAACATGGACTCAATGGCAGTGAGTTTCTGTTTGTTTGGTCCCCCAGGGGACCTTGGAGGTGCCCCTTTTGAGGGACTCTGACTCCTGCAGCACGTGACCATGAATGAAGATAATGTTATGCCTTCGTGTTTTGATCTCCTGCACCAGCATCATGCTGAGGGCGGGACCTCAGTCCCCAAAGCTGGGCTGTATCTTGCCGGGATATGGATCAGGCTCCGGAGGGACTTGGGGTACACACAAGCGGTCTTGGCTCTTGCCCTCCTCTGTAGCTGGCCTGGCCCCCACCAGCCTCAGGGAGTAGAGCCACTGAGCACAGGAGGGCCCTGCCCTGAAGTTCAGCCTCCCTCGCCTTGATGCCTGCCATCTCCTGCCCCAGCCAGTGGGCTCAGCCTCCAGGGAACAGAGGCAGCCTTGTGGCCACAATTCCTGCCCTGCTCCCAGTTCCCCCATCACCCTCCTTGGCGGGGTGTCTCAACACCCCAGAGTAGCACATTCCATTCTTGGGCACAGCTGGGGGCTGGAGTTCCCAAGGCCCCGGCAGAGGCTGCTGTCTGGGCCGGGACCTGGGCCCCAGCCACGCACATTCCAGCAGCAGCACCCCCCACACTGAATTTCCCAAGGAGTGAACTTCAGCCAGGATTACAGCCGACTGAACAGTTGTGGGCTCTGAGCTTCCTTTGTGAGCACCAGAGGCTGATTGCTGGCAGGACTGGGGGCTGTCTCCATTTGTCGGGGAAAGGCCACCGTGGGAGGCTGGCCCTTTGCCTCTGTCCAGGCTGATGGCAGACACAGCGGCTTGCACTCCTGCTCCTGGGTGTCGCCCCTGCAGACACGAGTGTCTGATAGTAACTCCCATGGGCAGACTGTGACCTCCAGCAAGCCCATCAATAGGGTGGGGGCATCCCAGTGCCCACCTCAGAGGGCCATGTGGGGGCTAAGATGCACTGTGTGAGCCTGCGAGGAACAGTTGCTATTACAGGTCGTTTCCCCAGTATCGGCTTTCCGTGTCACCTAGCGATATACAAGGAAGCTTCCAGAAGCAAATGAAAAATCTTTTTGTTTAACTCCATTTCCTCATACTTGGAAGCCCGCTCATATTTTCTGGAGCCAGAACCCCAGGTGTAGGCTCCTGCCACCTCTGAAAGTGCATGCTCTAGCCCCACTTCCCTGCCAATAAGGGGTTTTCAGTGATTAGTGAATCAGGGATTTGCCAAGTGCCTGTCACATGCAGGCACTATGCCAGGCCATGGCTTTTGGTTAATAAAAACACTAATTGCCACTCGGTGAACATCCCTGTGCCAGGTCCAAGTTCATTTCCCTGCTTCAATCTCAGCCACCCTGTGAATCAGGCGCTCTGAGCCCACCGTACCACTGGGCAGACAGGTTCAGAAACACTCCGTGTCCAGTGGTCACAGAGTCACAGGACTGGGACCCAGCATGGGGCCACCAACTCCTTCCCAAAATCCTCCCTCCTCTGACAGTAGACCCGGACTCTGTACCCTGCTAGGAAATTTGGTTTCCCCCCGCTTGCTTTCAATGTGGGGTGGCCCTGTGATTTCATTCTGGCCAGTGCGAGCTAAGTGGAAATGTACCAGGTGGGACTTGTTTGGGAAATGACTGTTTCCCTCATTAAAAGGGCCATAGGCTGCTGGCATGCCGCCTTTTCTCTGAGCCCGGAATGTGGTGGGGAGGCTGGGAGCTGAGGCCGCACCCTCTTGAAGCCATGGGTAAGCAGAGGACCAGCCGGGGAGGGCAGCTGCGGTTGTGCAGGTCAGCCACCCCCAACCCGCTCACGTGGAGATGTCCCCACTGTCCCCTAGGGTTTCTGGGCCATACATACAGGCACCCTTGGCCTGGAATGCTCTCTGGGCAGCACCAGCCTCAGGTGTGCAGGCCTGCCTCGTGGCGAGGGGGGATGGAGGGAATAAGGTGGGGCGCAGGCCTGACCAGCTCTCCCTGGCCTGTGAAGATGTTTCTCTGGCCCCAGGGACATGAGACCCCGGGAGGTCTGACATATGGTGTTGGGGGACAGACCAGGGTCCTAACTCCTCTAGGTGAGCTGGGTGAGGAGTGTCTTATGAGGGCTTTCATGAGGTGAGGGAGCGCCCCACTCCCCTCCCTGGCTGCCAGCACCTGACAGAGGTCAGTATTGTGCTGGGGCCAGGAGCTGCCCCAGGTCCTGTGTGCCCAGTGGAAAAAGAATCCCTGGTGGTGGTTGACCGTAGAAGTGTCTGTAAATACTTGGTCAGTCAGGGTGGGAGGCTGGGAGACAAGGCGCAGATTCAGGGAGCAGGGGAGCGGGGAGGGTTTGGGTGAGGGTGGGTGGCAGTAGATTCCTCCAAGGCCAAGGGGAACAAATAGGCCTCTGGTGCTCCTGACCTTTGGAGGGAAAGGACACCTGGTTGCCCAGGACGGGGGCTTACAGGCAGGTGGTCAGACCACCTGTTAGCTAGACCTCAGAGGAGCCCGCAGCTCACACTGACCCCACAACAGAGCATACAGGCCCTCAGGAGAGGCCATCTTCCCCCATTTCCTGAGGCAGGGCTTTCCTGCCAGAGCTGCTGGAACGAAGGCTATCCTCAGCTCAAGGGAGCGAGCTATGGCACTCTGATGCTCATCTGCCCGACAAAGAGGGTGGTGCATAAGCAAATGTGGTGAAGAAAGCTATGGTTCCTGGTTTATCAAAAGATACAGCATCTGGGGTCTTAAAGGCTTGAAGATAAACAAGCGGCCATCTAGTTGAGAAGCAACAAAGCCCACATGGAAGAAGCACACCATCCTGTATGATCATGAGGTGTTGATGGGACCAGGTTATCGGGCATCAAATACTCAGAACAAAAAATCATATTGATGTGAATGAGGGAGAGGGCAGAGAAGAGACCCAAAGCCCATCTGTAGACAATTGGACATCCCCTTACAGAAGGGTCACAGGAAGGGATAAGTCAACCAGGGCACAGTATAGCACCCATGAAATATACAACTTTCCTCTAGTTTTTTAATGATTCCTTTCCCCAACAATCATGACCCCAATTCTACCTTACAAATCTGGATAGACCAGAGCATGTACACTGGTACAGATAAAAGTTGGAAACACAGGGAATCCAGGACAGATAACCCCCCAAAGATCAATAATGAGAGTAGTGATACCAGGAGGGTAGGGAGAAGGTGGGTGCTGATCAAAATGGTCGACATATAACTAACTCCCCCACCCCCAGAAAATGGGTGAACAGAAAAATGGGTGAAGAGAGACAGCAGTCAGTGTAAGACATGAAAAAAAAAATTATCAAGGGTTCATGAGGGAGGGTGGGGGATTGTGGTAGTTACATAATCTGTTGTCAATTTGAGGCTTAAGTGAAGGGGTGGGGTTTAGCTTGTCAATCAGATCACAGCTTAATGACACAATTTGGAGGTGCTAAGGAGATAAATAGCTTTTTGGAGGTAAGACACAGGCTCACTTCCTGGGAGACATTGCAGTTGACAAGCCGCATGGAGACAGGCTGATGGCAGCCAGAGCCTCAAAGCTGGAGAAGCCAGGGGAGACCCCTGCCAGCACTGAGATGCTTACACCACCACTAAATCCGCAAGACTTTCCATCCACTGGTCTGTGATGGTCCTGCATTTGGCATCATTGCATGTGTTTCGTGAGTCTGAAGAGGAATTTATAGATTAGTATTGGATATATGGGCTAATACCGGACTTAGGGACTTGATCTGGACTGGGCTGGGATGTTTTCTCAATATTCAATTGCAATTGTATATAAAAATTTTTTGTGTGTGTGACAGTTTCGAATGCTCGGTTTATTCACTTCAAACACACACCAGACAGTTTAACACTCTTGAACTTAACTTACTCAAAGTATCCAATGTAAAGTTAATTTGGTATTATATCAAAGCCTTAGTCCCATTGGGCATTGCCTACATCGGTGTCCTCACCAGGGTAGGGTTGGAGAGAGCAGGAGCTGATGTCTCCTCCTTGGCTCCTAGCTCTCTGAGTTCAGTCTCTCTACCTGGGTAAAGCTCTTTCTTTTTTTTTTTTTTTTTCCGAAATGGTTTTCTCATGTTGCTGACACGGCCGTTAGGAGAATCTGCGCTCACTCACATCTGACGGACGCGTCACAGCTTCTGCTGGGCCTGGGAAGGTCCCCTCACTCTTCCGGAAAGTCATAAGAACAGACCGATAGCGTAAAGCTCTTTCTTATACACACATGAGTATGAATTTGTTTCCCTAGTCTACTCAGACTAACACAGGGAGGGAGGGGGAAAAATGAGGAGCTGATATCCAGGGCTCAAGTAGAAAGAAAATGTTTTGAAAATGATGATGGCAACATATGTACAAATGTGCTTGACACAATGGGTGTATGTATGGATTGTGATGAGCTGTAAGAGCCCCCAATAAAATGATTGAGAAAAAAAAAAAAGCAAGGTTCTTGCGGCTCAAGTGCCTCACACCTTCAGAGAAGGCCTGGTCTCCCAGCTTCCCCCTCACTGGGAGCAGCCCCCTCTGGCCTCTGATGCCCTGCTCTGGGTATATCTGTCCAGGCCTCAGTCTCTGCTGGTGCCCCTCTCCCCAGCCTCTGCCGGCACCACCCATCCCAGAATGCCAAGCATTTGAGTGGTAGCATGACCTCTTGCTTCCACTGCAAGCCTTCTCCCTGGCCTGCCCTTCTCACCTCAACGTTTTGTGTCCCAAGAAGAATCCTCCCTCAGCATGCAGGACCCACCCCTCCCCCTCTGCCTGCCTCAGTTGTCGGCTCATCTAGACAGGTTGTCCTCCGCTCCTGGATGGAGCATCAGGACACGCAGACTTCTGGGCCCCTGGGTGTGGTTTGATGGAGTTGCTCTCCGGTGGGGGTCCCAGGGTTCCTAAAACACCTTCGGGGGTTCTGTGGCCCATCTATTGCAGTGGTTCTCAACCTTCCTAATGTCACAACCCTTTAATTCAGTTCATGTGGTGGTGACCCCCAACCATAAAATTATTTTCGTTGCTACTTCATAACTGCCACTGTTGTGAATTGTGCGACCCCTGTGAAAGGGTCGTTTGACCCCCAAAGGGGTCGAGACCCACAGGTAGCGAACCGCTGAGTTATTGGAATGTACTCTACAGGAGTGTGTCAGGGCGGGGGTCGGGCAGGGGCCGAGAAAATGCACCACACCTGCTCTATCTCCTGTGGGCCAGGGATGGCACCCAGAGGTGGCAGCCAGCTGCTGGGATGCCAGGGATGGACGGAAGGCCTCTGGCTCTTGAAGGTCTGTCTCCCTGTGGTCCAGGTTCCTGGGGCTGGGACCAAGCACTGCCAGAATGTGGGGGATGGCATTGGGCCATGGGAATCTTGGGGGCGGGAGGAGGCTGGGGAATGGCCCCTCTGCTGCTCCTCAGGGGCTCCCCTGACAAAGGAACTGAGTTTGGATCCCTCACTTCTTCGAGGGGACCCTGCAAAAGCACAGAGTCTTGGTCTCTGTAGACATTCCAAGTATGTCTGTGTGGACAGGCAGGGGTCAAATAAGGGCTCTTTCCGGAAGTCCACTCTGAACCTTCCTATTCCGCCCACCCCCTGGGGACCCAAACGGCAGAAATCACCTGGTGAATGTCACAAGGGCACGTGTTGGTTTCTTTGATTTAATGAAAAACTTGGAAAAACAAAAAACAAGAAGACAGAACCCGAGCCCCACAGTCTCGGGTGTCTAGTCAGTTCTGCGGCTTCAGCAGTCACAATAACTTATTCACCATCAGGGAGCCATGGGGGGAGGGGGCGGGGCTGGCCAAGGCTGTGATGGGACCCTGGCAGGAGTCTGCTTGGAGTCGCCCTTCTTGGGCCCCAGGGACTTGGCCTGGGGAAACTAACAGAGGGGCAAAGATGGAGAAGGCTTCAGGGGCTAGCTGGCTGGGGGCTTCTGTGACAAACACCTTGCCTTGGGGAGTGGGGGGCGCCTATGAAGGCACGTGAAGTGGCAGAGGGTAACCGCCCAAGTAGCTCTGCCTAGTAAGAACCGCCTCCCCCCCTCAAGGCCCCATGACAAGGTGAGGTCCCGCCCCCATCAGAGGTGAGCCCATGCCCATCTTCTTTGGGAACCTCCTCATGCTGCTGGGGCCACGCCTCTTCTCACTCTCTTCAGTCTGCTTTCTGGGACCCCAGGCTTAGGACCCCCCTCCTCCACACCCCCCCCCCACACACACCCGAAGTGTGGAAGTTGTGCTCCTAAGAAAAGATGCCCAAAGTGCCTGGGATACTCAGGTCAGGGAGCAGTCTTGGGCCCCACGCCCACACCTTAGGGCCTGTGGGGCAGCCTGGGAGTGGGTGAGGCCAGGCAGGGAGGAAGGCAAGCATGTCCTGGGCAGGGGGGAGCAGGCAGAGGGCAAGGCACGGCTGGCTTCGGAGGGGACGGTGGGCAGGAGTGCCCGTCAGTGGGGGTCAGCCCCGTAGAAGAAGGGGTAGTAGAGGGAGCAGGGGTAGGAGAACATGAACTTGACCGCAAACTTCATCTCCTTGTTCTTCTTGTCCCAGCGATAGACGGCCATGAGCAGCAGCTGTCCGTCCACCTTGCGGCCCAGGACCAGGAAGCTGCCGGCCAGGCTGTCCAGCTGCGGGCAGGGGCAGCCCGCACCCTTCTTCATGTGCAGCACCAGCCGCTTGGTGTCCTTGCGCTTCAGGGGCCCTGGCTTGAGCAGCTTCTTCTTCTTTTGGGACCCGATCAGCTTCCTGTCCCCGTGCTCCACCTTGATCTCTTTGATGCGCATTTTGACCACTGTGGGGGGAGGCACAGACAGAGTGTGCTCAGTGCTCCGCCAAGCTGGGGCAGTGCTCTGGTGGCTGGGCAGGGGTGAGCATACCGGGCACAGGTTAGAGTTTACGCAGCTGCTGTGGCCTGAACATTCCCATTAGGCAGAGGCTTGGGGGTGCTTCCCGCCAGGGTTCTGACTCCGTGTGTGTGTTTGTGTGTGTGTGTGTGTGTGTGTATGTGTGTAGTTTGGCACAGAGGAGGGCGTGGATGGTGGGCTGATAAATGTTTAATACCCAGAGCCCGCCAGTCCCCAATCTATAGTGTTTACCACTGTGGGGGGTGTAGTGCTGCCCCCCTGCCCCCACATCACTGAACACTACTGCCTGTGCCTGTGTGAGAGTGTATGCGGAGGCATGTTTGTATGTATGTGTGCATGTGTGTGGTCTATAAATGTGTATGTGTGAGAGTGTGTATTCGCGAGGCCTTCGTGTATGTACGAGTGGACGTCTGAATGTATGTCTTTGTAGAGTACAGAGTGTGTTTGGTGCAGTTTGTGTGTATGAGCGTGTTGTCTGTATCGAGTGTGTATGAAAGCATATATATATATGTGGCGTGTTTGTGTGTGTGTATATGAACGTCTGTGTGAGAGAGTGTGTATGGGTTAAGTGGGTGTCTAAAAACATGTCTGTGGTGTGTGGAGACGGTGACGTGGCGGGGGTGGGGGGGCAGCCTTTGTGGCCAGAGACAGTCCTGGCCATGTTGAGATATGGAGTTCTGGGTTCTGCTTGCCACCAGGGCTAGTCTCCCCCTTC